AAGTTATGACCATTTTAATTTCTAGTGTCGAATTAGGCCAACATAGTTTCCCACGCGCGCCCACGTGCTTACTATGCACTTGCACGCGCTGGATTCAAGCCTCCTTGTGTGCTGGTATTGGCTAAGCTCTTTCAGCTACCGTGAGCTCACCACACTGAATCCATCACTTCCTTTATGCCGCATCCAATGGTCATAAATGAGTGCGCAAATGAACACGCTCACACTAGATTATTTTCTATTAACTATAATAGATCTAAGGTCCAGATCAGCGAGTGCACCATCTTCTCATGGTCTGCAATACACCAAATAATCCCATAGTTGACCAGACCACTTCTATGGTCCAGACACACATGCGCACCAAAGTTTTATGCGCCGCGATGCACCATATCAATTCACATAAGTTTAATTAATCAAATGGCCCTAACTGGCGTATACACCCTATTATCCTACACCGCGCCGCACTGGATCAATTCTTTATTGTACCGCCGCTCCACATGCGCCAGTTACCTAGTATATATATATATATATATATATATATATATATATATATATATATCCTAACAAATAATAGGAAAATAAATCCTAATAAATTCCTAAAAATATCAGAAAAATTCCAAAAAATTACAGAACAATTCTAGAAAATAAAGAAACCATAATTAACTCTCTTGGGTCACAAATCCACCTATAGATTGATTTTAAAATATACATAACACCTATATATATCAATTAAAATCCAAAAATCTAAAAATCAAATATAATAGTTTATACTTTTTAATTATTCCGATCTAACCATAATTTTTAAACAAATAAATTTAATTAAAGTCTTGATACTCAAGGTGAAATCCTTATGAGTTCTAAGAGGAAAGTTAGAGAAAACTCGCCTGAAGGTTTCGAAACGAAACCGACGCTTTAAGCTTTAATTATCTCTTCCAATTCCGACGTCCTCCTTTTCAGATCCGACCTCCTCCTTGTCAGCCCTTCTTCTTCCTCTCTCTCTGTCTGTTTTATTTTTCTAACGTGTAAAACCTTTAACCCTAAAGCCTTATGTGTATTTTTATACACCTTAAATTCCAAATCCTATTCCAACTAGTATTATGAATTAAAATAATAATCTTTAAATAATTTATATCTATAAACATGTATATATATAAATATATATTCCTTCCATAATTAACTCATTAGTTAATTAAATCATATATACTTATAAATATCAATAAATATATATCTATATATATATCTTTCCATAACAATTATTAATTAATTATATTTATATATAATTATATATATATATATATATATATATATATATATATAAATATAATTGATACAAAAGTGATCATTTAAATAATTAAATAACCACGGACCTTCATTAATTAACCCAATAAGGTTTCATACAAGCCCAAGACCACATCTTTTGGTCCAACTTTCCTTAAACCCAATCCAATTAATTTAAATAAATAAGATAATTAATTAAATACCGAAATTAAAATAACTAATTACATGAAGCACATAAACAAACAAGAATTTACAACTAAGTCATATAATACTAATAAAATCAACACACCAATAATTCAATCAATAATCAACCACACAAACAATCAATCATCATACATAATCACGAAATATAACTTAATTAAAATAAGATAATTAATCTAGCACTCAATAAAATAAAATAAATCATTGAAAAATAAAATAAAATAATTAATCCTAATTAATAAATCTTTTAAAATTATCGGGGTATTACAAAAATGTTAATTTCAAGTCCATTTTATGTATAAATAGAGGGCAAAGTTTCCCTTCAATGTAACCTTTCAATTTTCTCTTCTCTCTCTTGTAATATTTCTCTGTATCTGTATTAGCTTGGAAGTTTCAATAAAGAAAGTTTTCTGTAAGTCTGTTCAACTCTTGTTTAAAATTGTTCATAAATTGTTCATATATTCATAAAAAGTTCATATATCGATCCATATTTAGAGAAAAGTGCAAAAAGTCCCCTTGTACTATTGAGAAACTTGTAGTTAACCCCTAAACTATCAAAATTGCAAAAAACCTCCTGAACTAAACAAATTTTTTGCAGATCACTCTATCCATCACTGTTCCGGACGGGTTTTACCATTAAACTGACAACAATGACCATAATACCCTTGTGATCTTGAAAAGACACTAAAACCCCTTAGATTATAACAGTTAAATCCAAACACCCTTTAAACAACCCCCCCCCCCCCCAAAAAAAAAATCACGTTTAGTGTAGAAATTTATTTGTGTTCATTGTGGAACTAAAAACAATCAGAATTGGGATTGAAAATTTAAGACTAAAAAAAATGGAAGATTTTTCAGAGGATGCTTACACTGGAGAAGAAACAATTGCAGGCTGGAGAAGAATGAACAGTTTCCCATTCTTATGTTTTCTCAATTGACCCTTATTTGATCAAACCCTAAAGAAACACATATATCACTTGTGATAGCCACTAATTGCTTTCTCTGTACATGAATTTCTATTTTATCGATTAAAGGTGGGTTTACCCAAAAACATCTCCGATCGGATTCAGTCATATGGTTTTAGCTTTTCTCAAATTAAAATCTAATTTTAGTTAGTTTATGATTTTTCAATTTCAGCAAAGGCGTCTTAAGATTCTCTCTCAAAAATCCCCGGGCGAACTATCGTCGTCTCCAGCGCCTTCCTTGTACTGAAATCAATGTGAAGTTAATGGCGGCGGTGGTGTCAATTAAATTTACAAAATTCTCAACTTCAGCATCGTTAAGGGTTTGAATTTTGGGGTTCTTGGAATTTGTTCTCGGATGATGATGATGTGATAAAGATTTGGATGTCGGAGGCGAAGTTCTTGGTGGAATTGGCAGCATGGGCAACAGAGACGGCTATGTAGAGGAGGCGGGGTTCGCCGTGGTTAAGAGGTGGTGGCGACGGCTGTGGTTGAGAAGAAGTGGTGACGGTATAAGGAGGGAGATTATGGTGCCGACGGTGATACTCAGTGACTAGCATAGCGGTGATGACGGCGACTTGTGATGAAGCGCGGCTGGTGAGACAGATCCGGTGATGGGCGGTGGGTCTAGAATTGGTCGGTTGTGGAAAGCTCTGTTTCTCTCTTCCAACTCACACAATCAATCAATCAATCACAGAAAAAACCCAAAAAAACACAGAAGAAAGATAGAGCCCACCGGAAGAGTTTCGGTTGCCGGAAAGTCCCCAATGCCTTTTGATTCTTTGCCGTCCTTGATAGGCGCGTAACACGTTTGTACCCACTATGAATGCGGTGCCAATGCCGTCGATCCAACCCAACCCTCTCTTCTCGCTCACCACCACCTCTCCTCCTCTCATCTCTCTCTCTGACCCAATCTTCTCTCTGCTTTTCTCAACTCGATTTCTTCCAACTCACCCACCACTCAATACCCTCCCAACTCGCTCACTCAGCCGAATCTGATTTACTCTTTCTCTCTCTTCAACCTCCCTCACGATTAGAAACAACCCCAAAAACTGGCCCCTCGGCTATGTTTAGGGCAAAATTGTCTTTTCCATTTTCCGGTCATCAGCAGGTGACCCATGTCCCTAATTGGAACAAATTGTTAGTTCAAGGGGTTTTTTTTTTTTTTTTTTTTTTTTTTTTTTTTTTTTTTGTAGTTCAGGGGGTTTCTTGCAAAATGGCAATAGTCTAAGAAGTTTTTTTTTTTGCACATTCTCTATTTTTTTATGAACAATTAGTAGGTTTTTCTTTGTTTTAATTTTTTTTTTTCTCTATTAATTTTTTATTATTATATGTATAAATATAAATATAAATATATATATTCTCTTCTGCACTCTCTATATTATTCAATTACGTATATTTGTTGGGTATCTCTTTTAAATTTAATTTTAATCAGAAAATATCAAATCAAAATACAATTATAAAAAGTTTAAAGTTAATTATGTGAATTTGAATTCTTATTGATGAGAAATATGTTATTCATTCATCCTAAAAGATTGTAACTTTTAGTTTTAATTATTTGACAATTTAATAAATGAGATTCTTATTCACAAGAAAAAATCATTTATTCATGGTAAAAAATTGAATTGAAGTTATTAAATTATATGAGAGTTGTGAATATCCTCCACTGTTTTTCTCTATTTGAGCAAATGCACTCAACTTTTAAAAAGAAATCACATTATTAATTTTTTTTTTTTAAAACATTATTATAAACATAATGTACAAATATCCCATGATGCTAAAAAAAACTCCTACATTTTTCAAATTGAGCAAATAAGGATAATTTTTCAATTTAAAGATTGAATTATCTAAAATTGGTATGCTGGATTTTCTAACAAGATTGAGTAGGGTTTAGCAAATCCACCCCAATTCCACCCCGATGCTATCCCTACATATACAAAATTACCTTGCAATCACAAAAATTTCCCGTCCCATTGTGTTTGGTGAAAAGAAGAAAAAGAAAAAACAAAGGCTCTTATAAGTGATAGAGGTTATAGGTTAAGTTCGGAATTGTAACTTTTAAAAATGCCTAAGAGATAGAGGTTTATCTTTTTAGGTACCAATTTTTTTAAACAATGTAATACTTTATTTTAGGAGTCTCCAACCACCTTCCATTTATATTTTAGTACTAAATACAAATTTTATATCATAAACAAAATATGTGATATTTAAAAAAACAAAAAAAACTATACAAGTTAATATTTATAAATTTTAGAATAAGGATAATATAATAAAATTAATAACAAAAGTGTTTTAAACAACATTATTACCAAAAGCATGAATGCTTTTACTGACAACAAATTTATAATAGTTCTATTAATAAAAATACTTTCAACAAATTTATAATAGTTCTATTAATAAAAATACTTTCAACGTTCTTACAGTAATCCGAACTCTAATACGTTCTTTTTTGTATTTGTTGTATTTTAAATTGTATCCCTAATACTTGCCATTTATTACAATTATCCCACAAACTACCCATCTTAGAGTTTTGATCCCTGACATAAAATTCTACCCTTGGGTTGATTACCTTTACTCTATAGTTAATAGCTATGGACTCCTCACACAGATACACGACATGGAGACCATGCTTGCTTCCCCATCATCACCACCATAATCCTTTATTCCTCTGCCGCCGCCGCCACCACCACCACCACCACCACATTTCACCTCACTGTCCACTTCACGGCCATCTTCTCCAGCCAAACAGGTCCCCCCTCACATGCCCTAAATTCACTTTTCCCCCAAATCCTGAACCTGCTGAGTCTGTTCCTTCGCCAAACAGCACGAACCAATTGAACTTGCAGCTTCCTGATGTTCTGTAAGTTTTGCTTCAATTCCTTCTCTTCTCTTATTTTTCCGATTTATCTGTCTATTCATTTATTCTAATCATCACAGCCTCTCTCTTATTTTTATTTAAAAAAATGTAACAGTCATGTTAAACTTCATTTGTTCATTGTGTTTTCCACTTAAATTGGGCTAATTCAAATGTTGACCATCATTCCTGTTAATACATATATATGTCTATTTATATGTTTCAGGTTAGACTTAGGTCTGCTTTATAAATTTTTATTATTTCTTGGGTTTTGTGATTATTCATGTCTCTTTACATTGGAATTCCTGTTAATGAGATCGGATTTGTCGAATGTTTGGTTTCAGAGAACTTCTCTTATGTGGTAAAATTAAAGAGAATTTTTTTTTTAATAGAAATGAGGTCATGGGACATGACACAGCCAAATGCACAAAGGCTTCTTTAAGCCCTAGAATTAGGAATTTAAAACATTGGACGCAGTTGGGTTCTATTTTCAATACAGTGGAATTAAATTGATTTCCTTTGTGGAGAACAGAAAAAGGGATCAGCTAGAAAATTAGATCCTATTTTAGTTTTACTCTCAAAATACAGTTCTCAAGACTTCGGAAAATAGAAAACAATATTCAAGAATTATAAAGATTGTTGTTCTATGAAAATTTGTGTTTTTTGTCTTAACTTTGTTGGGAGCAGTTTTCATACACCTTTCAAGCAAACAGATTTTCAGATCGTGTTGTGTTTTTCCTGTTCTCTAAGAATTAAAGAAATTCAGAAAATAATACCAAGCATACCCTGGTTCCTCAATATAATTGTACTTGGATATTGAGAGAACTGGCGAAAGGAAACAAGTATAGAAGTTTGTACATTTATATTATATCTTGTTTTTGCTTACTTCATGTATGAAGTAGGATAACATTTTACTTATTTTTTAGGATAGTTATATATAGGTTTTTCTTACTTTATGTATGAAATAGGATAGTAAATTTCCTTGTGGTTCGCCACCTCATTAAAATGAAGATACATCTCAAATAAATAAAGTCTTGTCTCAACTACTTTGGATTAGTTCAGTCAATCCACATGCTATTATGTATACCCTTACTATCTCAATCCATGTTAAGTTTTATCTTGTCCTTCCCTTAGCATTGTCTTCAATGTGGACCATGTCACTTTTGTCGCATTTGTGGTTATTTTTTTTCCCAGTTGCATATGTAGTTATTGTTAACCATCTTAATCATTTTTTAATTTTATTTATTCCCAATGTGTGTTGCTTCAGCTGTCTCAAGAATGCATTTTCAAGAAAGAAAAACCATCTGAAAATTGAACTTATTCCTAATTTTATTCTTTCTTGTGTTAGCATGCATTTTCTCAATATTTGCATTTCCCCACACTTCATCTATGAGCATGTTTCTTAATCGACCCTCATTCCATCCTATAAATTATGTATGGCTTATATAGTAATTGTTTTTAGTTTTAAAGGTATACGTCAATTACACATGAAAAAATCACTCCCTCCCTTAATGCATCTTGTTTTAAATTCTGTAAGGAATGTAATCTTCAATTTATCCTTCTATATGAACAATAAATCCTAGTTAATGAAATTATTCGCCTTTTAGTATCTAATAATGTGGAGGGAAAAAACTCCCTCCAATAAAAAGCGCACACGTCATCACTACCCATATCTACATTCCAAGGACATATAAGGCCCATCATGTTCAAGCCCAAATTGAGGGTATTTACAGCCTAAGACCATTGTTATTTGTCCTCCAACCTCCATCAAGGCCGAATCAAGAAGTCATCAGCCCAGCTTATTAATATTTAACATCTGGTCTGTTACTCAAGCCCAGCCGGATCAAAATATGTTCAGCCCAGTTATTCAAGAATGCACAAGTCCTACCAGTTGAAGGATTTACTGTAGAAGGAAAACTCTGAGATAGGAAGTTCTGTACAAGGCAAGTTCTATGTATGGAAAATTCGACAATGGAAAGAACTCTATTAGAAAAGAATGTTTATATAGAAAGAATTGGAGGGCAAGCAACGCGAGTCCTACCATAATTTTGCAATCTGTTGTATATAAATAGAGGCTAAGACCTCCAATAAAGCCATCAAGCAATTCTACGCTTCTCTATATACTGTTCTTGTTTATTTTCATTATTTGTTGAGTGAGTTGTTTTATTTTTCTCAATCATTATTGGTTGAGCGAAATTCTGCATCTACACTTTGGCGCCGTCTGTGGGAAACGTATAAAAATATACTCCCACTTGTTCTTCAAATCAAATCCTTAGTCGTGTCTGGAATGTTAAATGGAGAGTCAGCAATGAATCAACAGATAGAATTGATGCAAAAGATGCGAGAAGAGTTCTTGCACCAATTTGAGACACTCCGGCAAGCAAACGATACGAGTGTCGCCCAGATAGCTGCGCTTCAGCAGCAGACTCATACGCTGCACACGACCATGGCCAGGCTAACGCCACAACCACCACCAGGCGATGCTGCGGCACCACCCCCCACCTGGAATTTACCTCCGGTTCACGAGCCTCCAGCCAACGAGACACCACCCAACGGGGCTCGACCTAATGAGGTTCAGCAAAAGCAAGGGACGAGATCCGAGGCGGTTGCTTCGGATAATCTCCCGCATCGCACACAGGACGAACAGGCCGAGTCCAGCCATAGGCTTACGGTATGGTCCAATGGCGTTCCAGATGGCGCACGCGCACAAGATGCCTTCGACGAAAAGAAGCTCTTAAGAGTTCAGACACCAGCCGAGATGGCTAGAGAGCACAAAAACTCTTTGGTCAAGACCCCCTTTACTGACGAGGTGTACCTTGTGGAGAGACCAAAGAAGTTCACTATGCCATCCTTCACCCAGTTCGATGGGGCAGGAGACCCCTCTCGGCATCTCGATCATTATGTGCAAAAGATGGCACTGGACGATCATAACGATCCATGGATGTGTAAGGTTTTTCCTACCAGTTTAACCGGAGCAGCGTTAGAATGGTTTAGGAATAGGCCACACAAGTTTATCCCTGATTATGAGACCTTGTGCACTATGTTCTTAGCCCAGTATTGCGGAAATAAGAAGCAGAAGAAAAGTATCGCCAGCCTTTCCACCATAAGGCAAAGGAAGGGAGAAACTCTGCAAGATTTTTTATCCAGGTTTAACATGGAGGCCTCGGAGATAGCAGATTGCCACCCTGCCACGGCAATCAAAACATTTAAGTTGGCAATGATCCAGGGAACTAAGTTTCACACATCCTTGGTCAAATATTCCCCCCCGGATATGCAGACTTTGAACGCTAGGGCATAAATCTACATTCGGTTGGAGGAAAACGTAGCCCACCGTGCACAGCACGCTACCCTCGTCACAGTGGAAAACAAGTCTCGAGAGAAGGTTGCGAGCACAAGGATGCAGAAGGTTCCTCATACCGCCACACAAGTCACCCAAGCGTCTGAGAAGAGGCGAAGGACAGAGGACAGGCTTACCCCTCTCCGTACTACCTTGGCGCGCCTATTCCAAGAGAATAAGACGAGGTTCGCAACTCCTCAGCCCATGAAACAACCCTTGGAGCAGAGGGACAAAAGCAAACATTGTGCCTACCATAGAGACTATGGACATACCACCAATGACTGCAGGTCCCTTCAGCGACAGGTAGAAAGCATGATAGTGAGAGGAGAGTTGGTGGAGTATCTTGCCACGAAGGAGCACGTAAAACCTCGGGAGGTTAACCCTTGACGGGTAGAGGGCGGTCAGGTAAAAGTTATCCATGCTATACACGGAAGGTCAGAGGATGATGAAGAGTCTGAAGAGTTGTACAGATCCAGGCTGAGAGAGGCTCATAAGTTACGAAGATTGTCTTCGGTAAACACGGTTGCACCAGGCAGCATCAACATTGGATTCGGTAACAATGATCTTTCTAGAGTCCAGCGCCCGCATGAGGACCCCTTGGTCATTAGCCTCCTGGTAGCGAATTATATGATCAGGAGAGTGCTAATAGATCCGGGAAGTAGCGCCAACATCATTACAAAAACAGCTTTTGATCAGTTGGGGGTTTCGCCATCGTCCATCAGGCCAACTTCCAGCCCCCTAATGGGATTTGATGGTACTAAGGTGAATCCGCTTGGGGTGATCGATCTATCCGTTACTGCAGCAAAGAGGACTCTGAAGGAGAACTTTGTCGTGACAGAGATTCATCCATCTTATAACCTCATTATGGGGAGAGGTTGGATCCATCGTATGAACGGAGTCCCCTCTACCCTTCATCAAGTAATGAGGTGTTTATCCCCAGATGGCAGGGAAGTCATCGACCTCTGGGGAGACCAGGTGGCTGCAAAAGAATGTTACATGCTAACGCTACATGAAGCAAAAAAGGCGTCAAAATCACCTCAGTTAGAGGCGAATCCCAAAGGCGCAATCAAATAGCAGTTACAATATCCTCTGCCCAAGTATCTCAAGGCAGAGGAAGAAGCCGAGGCTGAAGCACCTACCGAGGAGTCCCTCGATGCTATAGAGGTAGTCCTCGGAGACCCTCAGAAGGTCACCTACATTGGCTCATCTTGCACAGCCGAAGAGAAGGAAGCAGTGATCAGGGTCATTCGGTGCAATTCAGATGTCTTTGCCTGGGATCACTCGGACATGGTGGGGATCGATCCTATGGTCTCATGCCATAGTTTGAGGGTTAACCCAGAATTCAGGCCGATCAAGCAGAGGCACCGACGGTTCGCACCTGAGCGGAATCGCATAATAGCCGAGGAAGTAAATAAACTATTACAAGCAGGATTCATTCGAGAGGTGCAGTACCCACAATGGCTCTCAAATGTAGTAGTCGTTCAAAAGAAGAATGGGAAATGGAGGGTATGCGTAGATTATACCAACCTTAACAAAGCTTGCCCAAAAGATAGCTTCCCTCTGCCCAAAATTGATCAAATGGTGGATGCTACGACTGGTTATGAGAGGCTCACATTCCTCAATGCATACTCCGGCTACAATCAGATTCCCATGAATCCTGAAGATGAGG